TGATGATATCGGTCTGTATCTCAACAATGGATTACTTCGAGAAAAAACATCCATTGATTGTCTTCGAGATAGAGATTGCATAAGAATTCTTGTCAAACGTGCGGCAAAACGACGGATCAACTCTTTGTTGGACACTATTTCCGAAAACAGTGTGAAGTGTAAATGTTCTGTCACTGAGTGGTAAGTGTTGAGACAATTAGCAATTGATTTATCACTTAATTTGTGTCCAATATTCTTAGCATAACTATTGATGAATTTGATGCCGAGTCTGTTAACAACGGATCTGCCATTAAGTTGACGACAAAGTTGTCTAAAAAAGTAATGGATACCAAATTTAGACACAAATCGATGGTAACTGAAAACAAAGATAATAAAAAGTCAGCCCAAAAAGTCACTGGACATGAATTTCACGGATCAATCGCTGGTGATGAGCACAGTCTCTACCATCGGGAGTCCCAGTCCTTCCATGAGTTCAGTTTGAAAGATCTCAAAGAACTGTCAAAAGTTAACACATTTTATGGCCAACCAATGGCCAGCGATTGGTCGTCATCACAGCATTCCTCCACAGTCACTGTCTACCGGTGCGATTGGGCCGACTGTACCTACACTACCAGCGCTGGCCAATCAGAATTGACGAGCCATCGATGTGGTCACGGGATAGACGTCCGGTATATGTGTGTCATTAACGGTTGCGGTGAAGTGTTCAACACGTTTAGCAAAAGAACTGAACATCACCTGACAGTACATCCCATGGAATTCCCGGACGTGGCGTGGATTCACTGCTCACACGATGGCTGTCTGTTTGCCACTTAAAGTCATCATTTGAAATGTCTTTCTTCAGCCAATTAGTGGTCAATTGTTTTTGTCTGCGCTCTTGTCTTGTGATATTCTTCCACTTCTATTTATGTCAACATATATTTGATTCAATTGTTTAATTGTTATTTGTTATCAAATAAAATTTTTAAATGTTTTATTAATTGTAATTTTGTGGTTATTTCAGTGTTTTATAAGTTTTACTAAATTTTTATAAATTAGGAGTCATGTGTTTGGATGCGCTGTTATATTCAGATATTCTTCCACTTCTATTTATGTCTGAAATTTTTAATTATTAGTAAATTATATTAAATTAATTAATTTTCATAAACTTTTTAGTGGTTTTATAAGTTTTACTGATTTATGCGTTATTTGTGAGAAAATTGTGAATTTTATAAAACATTTTGTCATTCAATTAGTTGTAAAAATTATTTATTAATTTCACATTTAATTTACTCTTTAACTCATACTTAAACCAAAAAATTATATTACAAGACATCACATCCGCACCACAAGAATGTCATCGAATCCATTGTCTATATCGGTGTCAGTAAAGGCGTTGCGTCCAGAAATGGACGACAATTGGCTGACTATACCTCTGGCCGTGAATACCATCGATGAACTCAAACAACATATTCTGTGGATTGAATGCTTAGACGAAGACATCGATATCGAGCTCTATCTGTCTGATGGCTTACTTTGTGACAACGCATCCATCGATGATGTCATCCGAGACGGAGATCACATCGAAATACGGATCAAAAAGCTGAACAACTCATCGCTGGCCAAGTGTTGCATATGTCTGGACCCTTTCGACAGTCGCGGAGGTGATGGCGGCGCCGAAGAGCGGACTCTTTGGTGTAGCCATCGGTTCCACAAACACTGTATCGATAAGTGGCTGAAAAGGGACAGTCAGTGTCCGATATGTAGACGCAAACACATAGCGATCCCACAGACGGCCAGACGCGGTGGCGGACACTTTCGGCGCCCACAATACAGGGCCGTCCGTATGAACGCTAGCTATTATCCCGATTATTATTTGTCATGATTTTTGTCTGTATTTTTAACACCATTTGTAATTCATTAATTTTTTAATTGTAATTATTTTCTGTTTTTTATATATTTTTTAAATAATTTAAACTGTGTGTATAGGACTAAGAGTAATAAAGCTTTCAGAAATCATGGTGGAAAGCATAAAAAATTGTCATCTCGTGGCTGATGGTGTGGTTCTATTCCTCCACTTCTTATTATGGTTTTGATTGTGATTTAAACGTTTGTAATTGTGTGCACACAATAGGTGTCATACTATTTGCGTTCATATGTCCACTAATTGGTTGTTTTAATACAATTTATTTATCATTTATAGTGTTTTCAATGATTTTTCTGTATTTTTATTAATTTTTTCAATAATTAGTTTGAATTCTGTTTTTATCAATGAATAAATTTTACCATCAATTTCTTGTGATAATTATTGGATTGATTTTTATACATGAACTCATCTGAGAACTGGAGGAATGGATTCGATGCCAGACAAAGACAATAGAGAAGTAATTATTTCAATGAATGACATTTTAAATTTAATATTTTAAATTTAATAACTTTATATTTAACTTTTAGTTATAAGAGTTGATAATCACGGCATTTGTTCCCATATACTGTATAGCGTAACAGTTGTGTGCAATCAATTGATGTGTTTTTATAAGTTTTACTGATTTATGCGTTATTTGTGAGAAAATTGTGAATTTTATAAAACACTTGTCATTCAATTAGTTGTGAAATTATTTATAAAATTCACATTTAATTTACTTTTAAACTTATATTTAGACCACAAATCATATCACAAGACATTACTCGCACTCTAGAAGAATGTCATTGAATCCAATGTCTGTATTGGTGTCGATAAAAACATTGCGTCCAGAAGTGGACGACTATTGGCTGACTATACCGGCGGCCGTGAAGACCATCGATGAACTCAAACAACATATACTGTTCATTGAATGCATAGACCGAGACATCGATGTCGAGCTCTATCTCTCCGATGGCTTACTTCATGGCAACGCATCCATCGGTGATGTCATCCGAGACAGAGATCGCATCGAAATACGGATCAAATGTGCGGACAAAAAGGCTGAAGCGATCCTCCAATGGATTCGGTAAGACATTGACACTCAAAGAGTGGCCACAAATTGACCACAAAATTGTTGGACTTTTACAGCGGATTCAATGAGACGCTTAAGATATCAAGTGATGCGGAGTACGAGTTGAAGAACCGGTGCCACGGATTGGACGCACTGTTGGCCGAGTGTCGGATCAATCCGAGAGACCAATTGACCGATGATATGGCTAATGACAATCCTGTTGGAGGCCAAGTGCGTGACCGCGAAGAACTATCACCATCTTTACTGTAAATGTCTGTTCCATTGGATGTACTATTGTTTTAAGATATTCTTCCACTTCTATTTGTGATTATAATTATAATAAATACGAGATTATATAAAATTGTGTTATTTTTTGTAAATTAATTAAATATATTTATTTAATAATAATAACGTTAGCATTGATTACGAGACATGAGATTCAAATGTCATATCAATTATTGACCACTTTTTTGACATTCAATTCATTAACTAATTATTAAATAACACTTTAAACACAATTTTTCACAATAACTCACTTATAACTCGAGATATCACTCCAACTGATCCCCAAGAATGACAACGTATCGCCTATTAGTGTTGATATCGATTAAGACATTGCGTCCAGAAGTGGAAGACTATTGGCTATCAGTACCACCGGTATTGCAAACTATTGATAGTCTGAAGCGATTTGTTATAATGACTGAATCGATCGGTGGATCCGCTGATGATATCGGTTTGTATCTCAACAATGGATTACTTCGGGACAACACATCTATCGATTGTCTTCGAGATAGAGATCGCATAAGAATTCGTGTCAAAAAGGCGACCAAACGGCGGATAAGCTCTTCGGCGGATAATCCCTCTGAGAACAAGAAATGTAAATGTTCTGTCACTGAGTGGTAAGTGTTGAGACAATTAGCAATTAATTCATCACTTAATTTGTTCTCATTATTCTCAGCATAACTTCTGATGAATTTGATGCCGAGTCTGTTAACAACGGATCTGCCATTAAGTCGACGGCAAAATCGACCGAAAAAGTGGTCACAAAAGTAGACATTAAATGCGAAAGCGATACCAATGTTAGCCACAAATCGATGGTAACTGAAAGTAAAGACAATAAAAAGTCGGTTCAAGAAGTCACTGGACATGAATCTCACAGTCTCTTCCATCCGGAGCCCCAGTCCTTCCATGAGTTCATTTGGAGAGATCTCATGGAACTGTCAAACGTTGACACATGTTATGATCAACTAATGGCCAGCGAGTGGTCGTCACCACAGCATTCCTCAACAGCCTCGAGGGTCACAAATCGGTGAGCATTTGATTCAATTAATTACTGTTGAATATAATGATTGCAATTCGCGGCCAATAGTCGCGAAAAAGTTGTCACACAAACCGGTATAAAATGCGAGGCAAGCGACCAATCTTTGAATGCCAGCGAATCCGTGGCCACTGTTTACCGATGCGATTGGCCGGAGTGTCCCTACACTACCACCGCTGGCCAATCGGAATTGATTCGCCATAAATGTGGTCATTGTATTGACGGCCAGTATTTCTGCGCGATTACCGGTTGTGGTAAGAAGTTTCCGAGACATAGCAGAAGAACTAAACATCACCTGTCAGTACATCCCAATGAGTTCCCAGACGTGCCATGGATTCAATGCACACACGATGGCTGTCTCTTTACCGCTAAGAGTCACCATATTATGAATAGTCATTTGAAATGTCATTCTTCAGCCAATTAGTGGTCAATTGTTTGGCTGCGCTCTTGCCTTCAGATATTCTTCCACTTCTATTAATGTCCCAACTTTTATGTCTAAAATTTCTAATTATTAGTAAATTATCTTAAATTATATTTTATTTAATAAACTTTTAGTGTTTTTATAAGTTTTACTGATTTATGCGTTATTTGTGACAAAATTGTGATTTTTATAAAACACTTGTCATTCAATTAGTTGTGAAAATTATTTATTAATTTCACATTTAATTTATCCTTAAACTGATATTTAGACCACAAATCATATCACAAGACATCACTTCCATATCACAAGTATGGCATCGAATCCATTATCTGTATTGATGCCAATAAAGACATTGAATCCAGAAGTGGACGACTATTGGCTGTCAGTACCGGCGACCGTGAAAACCATCGATGGTCTCAAACTACATGTACTGACCAATGAAGCCATCGACACAGACATCAATGTCCTCGACCTACACCTCTATAAGTCCAATGGTATACTTCGCGGCCAATCGTCCATCGCTGGTGTTATTAGAGACAAAGATCGCATCGAAATGCGGATCAAATGTAAATGTGTGGCCAAACGGTCTAAGACTACACCGACTGTCACCCGACCGACACCTGTGGCCAGGGATGGACAGACTCCGCGATCGCCACTGACTCCGGCGGCCATTGACTCGCAGTCCCTATCATTACTTCACGACTTCTATAAGACGCTCTCTAAGCAGATCCAGTCACTGACCGCCAGTCAAAGAGAAACACTAGTCATCAAAGACAGGGATGGATTGGCCGCGCAATTGACAAACAAAGATAATGAGCTTAAGAGGCAGACAAAGAGTATGTCCCAAGAGTTGGAGACCGAGCGCCAGCGTTGCCATCAGTTGCAGCAACAGATTCAGTCGCTGATCGCCGATAAGACATCGGCCATCAAAGACAGGGATCTATTGTTCGCACAAATAGGCGATAAGGATAACGAGATGCGGAGACAATTAGAGATTTTGTCCGTAGACTACGAGTCCCAACGCCAGCGTTGCGTTGAGTTGCAGCAACAGATCCAACTGATGGACACTAACAAGTCTATGGCCATCAAAGAATGGCACAAAATGGTCGCACAATTGGCCGATAAAGATAATGAGCTGAAGAATATGGCCCGAGAGATGAAGACCGAACGCAACCGTTGCTATCATTTGCAGCAACAGATCCAGTCGCTGACCGCCGACAAGACACTGGCCATCAAAGAAAAGGACAAAATGGCCGCAGAATTGGCACAATTTAAGAATAAGGCAGCGCTGGCACAGAATGTGGCCCAAGATGTTAAGAGACCCTTTGGTTACGACGAATTTATTAAAAAGTTGCGTACATTGTCCACAGACAGGTCCCGCACACCGGTCTCCCCTTTGGCCAGACTTTCCATTCCCGGAACCCCTGGCCATCGGTTTGGAGCTGATCCCAGCGCTCAAGTATGTAACCAATCCGTGCCGTCGGGGCAGTGGAATCAACCCAATGTGCGGTTGTCTTGAGCGCATTCTTCCACTTCTATTTATGGTTAAAATTATATTTATTATTAAATTATATAAAATTGTTTTATTTTCTTATAAACTTTAGTTAACTTTAACTCTAATTAAGTCTATATTTAGTTCATTAATAACGTATTGTTATGTTATTTATGGTATGATTTGTGACACAAAACACATGTTATTTGTTATGACTTTTGATTGAAAATAATTGAATAAATTGTTTATTAAATTAGTTTAGATTAAAATTTGATCACAAATTCATACCACAAGACAGCACTCGCGCACCAGAAGAATGGCATCGAATCCAATGTCTGTATTGGTGTCCATAAAGACATTGTGTCCAGAAGTGGACGACTATTGGCTGTCAATATCGCCGTCACTGAAGACCATCGATGGTCTCAAACGACAGATACTGACAGACAATTGCATCGTCAAAGACATGGATGACGTGCAGCTCTATCTCTACAACGGCTTACTTCGTGGCAACGCTTCCATCGGTGATGTCCTCCAAAATAGAGATTGCATTGAATTGCGGGTAAAGTTTGCGGACACAAAGCGGATCAGCTCTTTGGTGGACAATAATTTTGGGAGACATAAAAGGATTAAAAGTTCTTCTATTGATTGGTGAGTATTTGTATCGTAAGACATGACAATCACTTCATTTGTTCCCATATTAAGCATTACTGTCGACAACTCCGACGACGAGTCAATGAGTAGTCGATCGGGTGTTCAGATTATCGTTAAGACAGAAAGCGGTTCCATGTCTTCACCAAAAGTGGTCATCAAATCGGAGGTTATGAGCGAAACAGAAGACACCGAAAGTGTTGACAAATCAATGAATGTCTGCGAAGACAATGTAAAACAGGAAGTAATAGTAAAGAGTGAGTCCAATATATCGTCGGCAGCGGTGGTCAGTGACGCCGAAGCCGCGCACCAATGGCTACCCTATAGCCAGCCGTGCGGGACATGTGATTACTTGGGCTGCGAAGGACAGGCGTGTGGTGTCGCCCCCTCTGATGGCAATGATATGGCTATTGAATGGCTGGAGTGTCGGTCCCGTTGCGGTCTGGCCTTTAAGAGTAGAGCACTGTTGGCCAAACATCACCTTAACTCACATCCCAGAGCTTTCCCAGACATACCACGGATTAAGTGTCAACACATGGGCTGTGAGTTTAACACCAAAGACATCGCTTTTCTCATTAAACACGTGAAGAAAAGGCATTAATGGTTTGGTGTTATTCCTCCACTTCTTAATGTCTTTAATTTTTTAATTGTGGTTTAAATTAATATAAATTGTCTTATAATTATTTATTAATCTAATTAAGTCTATTTAGTTCATTAATAATGTATTGCTATGTTATTTATGGTATGATTTGTGAACACAAAACACATGTTATTTGCAATTCATTTAGTGTTGAAATTGAATGAATAAATTGTTTTAAAAATTAATTTTGATTACAATTTGACCGCAAATCACATCACAAGACGTCAAATGCGGGACCGAATGGCATCCAATGCCATACCATTAGTTGATCCAAATATACGCGTATTTGTTCTTATAAACTGGTTTTTCACAGAAGTGGAGAACTATGTGTTGCCAATACCACCGACAGTGACGACCATCGATGGTCTCAAACGACATATACTGACAGACAATTGCATCGACAAAGACATGGATGACGTGCAGCTCTATCTCGTCGGTACCTCTAGCAGCTTACTTCGTGGCCATCTATCCATTCGTGGTATTCTCTGCAATAGAGATACCATTGAAGTACGAGTCAAATATCGGATCAGCTCTTCGATGGCCAGAATTAATAGGACTAGAAGTTCGTCGATTGAGTGGTCAGTATTTGGGTCGTAAGACATGATAATCACTGCATTTGTTCCCATATTTAGCTTAAATATTATGAAATTGGCGAAAACAATGGCACTACAAGTGGAACCGCAACCATCACCGCCGGGAAGTGACCACCAGTCGGACCAATGGCTGCGCGTATGCCCTGAACCGGACTGTGGCTATAGGACTGCGTCCAAAGTAGACTTCAATCACCATAAGCTGATCCATAGGGCGCGCTGTCAACTGTGTTTTTACACGTTTAAGAGTATACACCGATTGAACAAACATCACCTCAGATCACATCCCAATGACTTCCCAACCATTCCGTGGATTACTTGTCCGCACAATGGCTGCCGGTTTGCCACTAAAGACAGTTCCGGTTTTGATAATCATTTGATAAAATGTCATAAAAATGGTTATCAATCGCCGCAACACTATTGGCTTAACTCTATTCCTCCACTTCTTATTGTGGTCACGGTTTTAGTTGCCATTCAATTGATTGTTAATTATTTATTGATTTGATTACATGTTTAAAATGCTACAAAGAATGCCAATTATATTTATATTGATTATTCCTCCACTTCTTATTGTGGTTAAGATTGTAATTGAAATTATAATTAATTTAATTGTCTTATAATTTATTGATTTAATTAAATGAATGTTTTGTTCATTAATAACATTTCGATACGTTATTTATGGTATGGTTTGTGACACAAAACACGTGTTATTTGTTATGACTTTTGTTTTGATAACAAATTGTTTATTAAATTAGTTTTAATTGCAATTTGAACACAATTTATATCATTTATATCACATCCACACCAGAAGAATGGCAGCGAATCCCATGATTGTATTGCTATCAGTGAAGACATTGCGCTCAGAAGTAGAGGACTATTGGCTGCCAATTCAGCCGACACTGAAGACAATCGATTGTCTTAAACGACAGATACTGTCCAATGAATGCATCGACAAAGACATGGATGACGTGCAGCTCTATCTGTCCGATGGCTTACTTCGCGGCGACTCATCCATTGGTGATGTCCTCGTAAACAGAGATCGCATTGAATTGCGGGCCAAACGGCGGATCAACTCTTTGCCCGACTCTACTGTTGGTCACCAAATGAAGTCAGAGCCAGCACTTGAATGGTTAGTATTTGGATTACAAGACATGATTATCACTTCATTTGTTCCCATATTTAGCATTACTGTCGAGGATTCAGATGACGAGACAATGGGTGACACATCGGGTGTTCAGACAATTGTTAAGACCGAAAGCATTTCCGGGAATCAATTGAATGGCAACGACAAGCCATCGATAGTTTCCTCAACATCTGTGGCAAATCATTTGGAGATATCTTTGCCACCAAAAGTGGTCAACTCTTCAGCGGTCAGCACTTCTGGCTATAAAAAGAGTAAAAGTGTTGTGAATGAGTGGTAAGAATATTATATTTGACTTATGATGACAAAAGTTGACAATCACTGCATTTGTTCCCATATTCAGCTTCACTATCGAGGACTCGGATGACGAGTCAATGAGTGTCCGATCGGGTGTTGAGATCATCGTTAAGATTGGAAATCAATTGAATGCTTTGCCAGAAAGTAGAGACAAATGGGCAACGATTTTCAATTGGGATCCAATTGTTAGTCAATCACAAGCCAATAGTGATGGTAATGAATCAATACATTCCTCGACATATCTTTTGCCACCATTTCTAACATTAAAACTTCTTTAGCGCCAAAAGTGATGACCAAATCGGAGGCCAAACGAAAATCAGAGACAAAACCGGTCAACAAATCAATGAATGAGTCCAAAGTTCGGGTGATAACCGATACTACGGCCAGTATGTCGTCGGCAGCGGTGGTCACACAATCGACCGATAAATGTCACACAACAAGCGTTGCCACCAAAACAATGAGACCCAAAGCCACTGGACATCTAAATCTAAGCCGAGCGCCGGGAAGTGGTCGCCGAAGTGGTGGCCGTAAGTTGCGTGGGATTCGGTGCCGAAGACCCGGATGTAATTACGAGTCTTTTAGCGTAACTGATCTGAAGAATCACGAGTGCGGCCGTTATCTCAAATGGCAGTTATGTGGCGGTAAGGCTCGCCGATCACGCGCTGACCACTCGGCGGCCACTCAATGGTCTGATCGTCCGATGAATATCTGTTTGTTTAAGATTAAGAATATATCTCACAATTGATTTTTATAATTAATTAGTCATTTATTTAGTAGTTTATAATTTAATCTAATATAATCAGTAATAAGTTATTACTAATAACTAATTGATAATTATTTAATCTATAATTCCATTATTCATTTATTATAATTATTTTGTATTAATAATTTGATTTAATTAAATGTATGTTTAGTTCATTAATAATGTATTGTTATGTTATTTATGGTATGATTTGTGACACAAAACATGTGTTATTTAGCAAATGCTATGATTTTTGAAATTTAATGAATGAATTATTTATTAAATTAGTTTTATTTAAAATTAGACCACAAATCATATCATAAATTATATCACATCCACACCAGAAGAATGGCATCAAATCCCACATCAGTATTGGTGTCCATTAAGACGTTATGTCCAGAAGTGGAGGACTATTGGCTGTCAATATCGCCGTCACTGAAGACAATCGATGGTCTCAAACAACATATACTTACAGACAATTTTATCGTTAAAGACATGGATGACGTGCAGCTCTATCTGTCTGATGGCTTACTTCGCGGCCATTCATCCATCGCTGGTGTCATTCGAGACAGAGATCGCATCGAAATGCGGATCAAATATATGGACAAAAAGCGGATCAACTCTTCAGCCGACAGTACTTCTGGTCATAAAAGGACCAAAAGTGTCGCGAATGAGTGGTAAGAATACGATATTACCACTGGTTATAAGATTTGATAATTACTTTATTTGGTCCCATATTTAGCATAACTCTCGAGGAATCAACTCAATCAATGAGTGAGCGATCAGATGTTCAGACAGTGATTGAGACCGAAAGCATATCCGGGAATCAATTGAACGCTTTTACTGAAAATATAGAGAAGATATACGATTGGGATTCAATTGATAGCCAATCACCAGCTAATAGTGATCGCATGGCATACGTGGCCAGCCTTTTGGACACAAAAACCTCTTCAGCACCAAAAGTGGTCATCAAATCTGATGTTAAATGCAAAACAGATACCAAAATAAGTGAGAATTCAATTAATGAATACGAAGACAAAGTGAGCGCTAAGAGTGAATCCAACAATTGTGTCGCAAGTCTATCGTCGGCCACAGCAGTGGTCACACAATCGGGTGATAATTATTATACAAAAAGCGTTGCTATGGAGACAACGAGATCCGACCCCTCAGGAAGTGGTCAGACGGCGGACCAATGGTTGTACGAATGCTATGAACCTGACTGTGGCTATAAGACTGATGGCTATCTAGACTTTAAAGAACATAAGCTGATCCATAGGCGCCGCTATGACCTCTGGTGTTCGGGTCAACCGTTTAGCAGTTCAAACAGTTTGAGCGAACATTACCTCCGATTACATCATTACCGCAACTTATCGTACGCTAAGAGAGTCGACAACTCAGTGATCAACGAATCAGTAGACAAAGTGGCAGAGAATGTGGTATTAGAGAGCGAGTCCAGCGCTTACGTCGATAGTCAGTCCGATTCTACGGCCAGTATATCGTCGGCAGAAGTGGTCACACAATCGGGGGATGAATGTCACGCC